GACACAGCCCTGTCCTCAGGGAGCCCCAGTCTGAGGGGGAGACACAGCCCTGCCCTCAGGGAGCCCCAGTCTGATGGGACTGTCTTGCCAAATCCCCTCTGTTGAGCTTCCTGTGTGACCTTGGGGATTTACTCAACATCTCGGAGCCTCAGTTTTCTTGTCTGTGAAATGGCAACACAGCCGTGTCCCTCAAAGGTACTTGGTGTATGCCCGGCAGATAACAAAAGCTGAATAAAATGTGGCTATTCTGCAATGTGGGCTTTTTGTGGAAGAAATCATATTTGTTCTTTAATTGGGGAAGTATATTGCAATAGGATCCTGTGCACCCCCCATTCCCACCCAGAGGTAAGACCTCTCTGGAGGGTCAGCCTTCGTTCACACCGCATGGTCTCCCCAGGCTGCCCCAGGCTCAACGTTGACAGTCAATGAATATCCTGGAAAGTCAATCACACAAGCGGCCCCAGGCCTGAGGACACCAGTGCGGCACGGAGACGAGGCGGGCCTGCAGGCGCCCACCCCAGAAGATGCTATCCGGTGGCTTCTGGTCATTGATTTCCTGGGAACCCAGTTTTTAAAACTTACTTTTTGTTGAGGTGTAAGTTTTGTGCATCAAATTGCACAAATCTTAAGAGTACAGCTTGGCGAACTTGTGCATAGGTATATGCCCATGTAACCGCCACTCAGATCACACACAGAGTATTCCAGCACCCCAGGAGGCTCCCTCAAGCTCCTCCCAGTCAATCCCCTCCCTCAGAGGTAACCACTATTCTGACTCATATCACCTACAGATTGGCTCTGCCTGTTCTTGTACCTCACGCACGTGGACTCCTAGAGCATGTACTCTGTATACGGCCCAGTGTGGTCAACAAGGGGTCTGTGAGGGTCGTTCATGCTGTTCCTGCAGCACTAGGTCTTCCTTTTTCATGGCTGAGTAGCCTTCCATTGAGTGGCCATGCCACAATTTATTTATCTATTTTGCTGTTGATGGGCATTTGGGTTGTTTCCAGTTTTTAATTAATAGGAGTAAAGCAGCCATAGCGTTCTTGGACATGTCTTTTGGTGCATATAAACATGGTGACCCATTCCTGAGAGCAGATTTAGAGGGAGATGCCTAGTTAAGAACTCAAGGGAGGCAAGGAGGGATTAAAATTATTGAGCTCCTGCCCTGGGCCATGAGCTTTTTTGGGTTCACCAGACCAGTCACAGGGGAAGGAGGACAGAGACAGAGCAGCCCCCAAGAGGAACTCCACCAACCTCATCGCTGAGCCTAGAGCCAGCAGTGTGTGTGTGTGTGGTGTGTGTGACTGTATTTATTTCCTAGAGCTGCCATAACAAATTACCACAGACTTGGTGGCTTAAAACAACAGAAATTTATTCTCCCATAGTTAAGGAGGCCAGAGTCCAAAATCAACGTGTCAGCAGGGTTTGTTCCTTCTGGAGGCTCTGAGGGAGAATCTGTTCCATGCTTCTCTTCTAGCTCCTGGTGTTTGCCGGCAATCCTTGGTGTTCCTTGGCTTATAGCTGCGTCATTCCAATCTCTGCCTCCCTCGTCCATGGCTCTCTTCTCTGTGTCTCTGTGTCTCTGTGTCTACAAATCTCTGTCTCCCTAAAAGGAAACCAGTCATTGGATTTAGGGCCCACCTTAATCCAGTAAGATCTCATCTTAACTTGATTACATCTACAAAGACCCTGTTTCCAACTAGGGTCACATTCCCAGGTACTGGGGGTTAGATGTCATCTCTTTTGGGGGACATAATTCACCCAACAACAGCAATTATGACTCTGCAAGTGTGGGTGTACATGAGTGTGGGTGTATGAAATTGTGAGTGTACATGAGTGTCTATGTGGGTGTGCACAAGTGTGAGGGAATACTGAGAGTGTGTGCATGTGCTTGTGAGACACGTCAGTGTCTCTGGTTGTGCTTATGTGGCCGTGGGCACATGTATATGAGAGTGTGTGTGCCCCTGTGTCCATGGCTTGGACACCCTGCTGGACAGGCTGAGAAGGGTAGCAAGGCAGCATGGTGACAGCAGCCTGGCTCCCTGTCATGGTTGAAGAGGCATTTGGAGCCAGCCGGGGCGGGCCAGCAGGGCCTTGCCTCATGAAGCCGGAGGGTGAGCTGTGAGAAGCAAGGACAAGGGTGTTTGCTGAGTTGGGCACAGGCAGGTAGTCTGAGGCGGTGGCTCCTGGCGGCAGCACCGGTTCCCAGGTCCTCTTCCAGGAACGTTCCTAGAAGGCCCCTCCACCCAAGCTCCCCTCCCCTGCACCCCATTTGCCTGGATGGGGCGGTGCTGGCTGACTCATTCCCTCCCAGGGTTGGAAGCCAGCACTCAGCTACCTGTTGTGCCAGCCAGGTAGGGGCGGGGCAGGTAGCCAGCCCCTCCCAGGCCCTGCCCCCAGGCCAATCCAGAGAGCACCCAATCACCGGCCACATCTCGGCTGGGGCTGGACCCCAGGAAGTGGAGAAACACAGAGGTGAGCACATGGTCCTGTAAGGCCCAGCGCAGCCTCTTTTAGGCCAACCCACCACCCAGAGACAGGATATTGGGAGGGTCTCCTCAATAGTAATGTCAGCTCAGGGCCTGCTCTGGCCAGTTATCTCATTTAAACTTCACAACCATGTTTAAATGGTGTTCTCATCATCCCCATTTTACCGATGCTATCACTGAGGGTCTAAGGAGTTAAACGAGCTGCCTAAGATTACACATATTTGTTTATATTTGTCAGAATTTTTTTATTATCTCTGGAAATCCACACCCTACTCCTTCCTCCAGACTCATCCCCAAGCTGCGCCCCCCGCAGCCCACCTGCCCACCATACGCACACCCTGGAAGGGCAGCCTTCCTTCCAGCCTTCCCCAGGAAGACCCTCTGGCCCATGGAGGGGGGGGGGGGCGCGCAGGTTTGGGGGTGGTCCCTCCTCTGGCCCCATCCTCTGGGCTCCTCCGTGGTGTCCTGGTTTTGTTTTTGGTGTGGTGGTGAGCTCATTGTCTCTGTGAGCAGGTCAGAGGGCACACGTCTGGAGGAAGGGGTGTCTGGGCATGTGGGTGCACCTCCAGGTGGGTCGCCCACCAGGGACCCAGGAGGGCATGGCTGCAGTGGGACATACATTGCACAGGGTATATCTGTGAGTGTGCCAAGGCACAGGGCTGTGAGCCTCTGTGGGTGTTCACGAAGAGCCTGCCCCCTGCATGTCTGGGCATCTGTAGAGTGCTTCCCCATTTCTCCCTCCTTATCAGATATCTGCCACCATCCTCAGTTCACAGACTCCCGGGCCCCAGGTGAGAAAGCCTGGTGAAAACTGCCTAGGACTGGGGACAGGGACACCTGAGTCTCAAGCCCCGCCCACTCCAGCCGCAGGTGCCCTTGAGCCGGCCCCGCCCCACCCAGGCAGCTGGAGTGTCCTCACCCAATGGGATGGGGTGACACGAGGGGAGGAGGCAGCAGCGTGGCTTCTCCCGCCCCCAGGAGCGCAGGGAGTGCCCAGCTCTTTGGATGAGAGGCTCATTACCCCAGCGCTCAGTAGATTGGGGGAGTCGAGCCAGGACTCGGCATTGACTACAAAGTGTGGGGGGGCACCCCTTAGCTCTCCGCAGGCGGCTGGCTGGGGGGGAGGGGCTGTGACGTGCAGTGGCCTCATGCAGCCGAGAGGAAGTAGCTAATTGCCGACCCGATGACTGGGCGGCCTGTGGAGTGGGGTGATGATGCCACTCGCGGAAGCAGGCGCCCCGGCCCAAGGAGGGGGCCCTGCAGGGACAGGGTGGGCCAGCCTGCGCTCTGCAGAGGCTGAGGTGGCTGTCGCCAAAGGAGCACGGGGGGGGGGGGTGTTGTTGAGGCTGTGACCGTGGGAAAGGGCTCCTCCAGGGCTTCCCTCAGCTTCAGGGGAAAAGAGTTCAGAGGCCCAGAGGAGATGGGGGATTTGGGAAGGGGCTACCTGGGGGGGGGCCAGAGGGGGAGAAGATGGAGGCTGAGGCTTCTTCTTGCTTCCCCTCCAGCCAAACTACCCCCACCTTCCCATCTCCACCAACTCCCACCTTCGTCCCCTTTTTGGCGCCTGTGGCCCAGGTGGGTGAGGAAGGAGGTAGTAGATGGAGGGCTCTTTTCACCAGAAGACCCCCAGGCACAAGCAGCCTACTTGGGCATCCCTACCCTGCTGAAGGCCAGAGCATCCAGGAGAAGCAGTGAGACTCCAGCTGTCCTGATGGACCAGAAGAGAGGATGCATCAGGTAGAGAGACCAGCATAAGCAAAGGCTGGGCCTTTGGGGTTGAGTGTGGGTGATGGAGGACAGGGCTTGGCAGCTATGGTAATGGGGAGAGAGGAAGTGGGCACGGCCGTTCTCCACCAAGGGCCACACTGTCCCTTCCTGGCAGAAACCGTAGGTAACCAGACTCGGAGCTTCTCCCACATGTTGGCCACAGCCTCCGGCCAGGGCAGGCCTGGCCTCAACTGTCGGAGCAAGGGCCAGGACCAGGTCAGGAGCCACACAGGATGGGGACCCACCCCTCAAATCCCCAGGTGCACCAACACCAGAGAACCTGCAGACCTGAGTCCCAAGAAACAAGACCCATCCATCTGTGGGTCAGTTCTCTGGGCCCCTAGCGCCCCCTGTGGGCAGGAAGCTACACTAATAGGGGAGGGGCCTCTACCTGCCTGGGGGAAGAAAAGGAGACAGACTTGCACTCCTGGAAGCACACAGACTTTGCCTCAGGGAACCCCCAGTGTGACGAAGGAGACAGACATTGACCTCTGAACTCCAACCTGAAATTCAGCCCTTGTCCTCAGGAAGCTCCTAGTCTGATGGAGACGTGTACTGCCATCAGAGCTCCATTCTGAAGGGTGAAACACATAATCTGGCCTTAGGAAACTTACCGTCTGTGGGTAGGGACACACAGCCCCGTTGAATTTTTGGGGAACCTCCAATCTGTTGCAGATTAGACGTTTTGATGGCTGTAGGGCTCCTAGAAAAAAAATACAAGATGTCCAGTTAAATTTGAATTTCAAATAAACAACGAATACTTTGTTTAGTATAAGTATGCCCCATATGTTGTATGAGATATACTAAAATATTATTCGCTGTTTACTTGAAATTCAAATTTAACTGGACGTCCTGTATTTTAATTTGCCAAATCTGACAACCCTAGATGCCTCCCATCTGAGGGCGGAGGGAGGACCGTCAGACAGGGAAATGCAGGTAAACATCTCAGCGTGCTCGGGAAAGCAGTGGCGGGGTGGAGGGGAGTCTTGGAGCGCCGGCTTGCAGCAGTTAAAATTCCTTCCAAGCCAGAGCCCTAATCCCTCGATGCACAATGGCCGCCTTCTCCCCCGCCGCCAGTGCCCACGCCCTCCCCCGCGGGGCCGTGGCAGTGCCACCACGGGCCTCTTTAAGCCCCTTTGAAGCCGCCAGAGCCCCGCGCCGCGGGAGGCCCCGCCGCTATGCCAGCTATGCCAGCTATGTCCCCGCCGCCGCCGGCCACCACCGCTCCCCCATTAATGCTAGCTAATCTGGCTAATAAATAAACTCCCCTCCCAGCCTCAGTCCCCTGCTGGCTCCTCCCTGCTCCCCCAGAATTGCTTCCAGGGCTTTGCTAGATAGAACAAGCACCCCACTCCCTTCTGATGCCTCTGCTTTTTTCTCTATTGCTGTCCTACGTCTGTTGCCCCATCTCTGACGGGATTCGGGGGGTCTCTGCCTCGTGCACTGCATCTGCACGTCTTTCAGTCCACCTGCGCGCAGGGAGCAGGCCACACGGCTGGGTACAAGGGACCAGACTCGATGCCCCGGGAAGATCCGCTGGATCGAGGAGCGCCCCCTGGAGGCGGGAGGAGGTGCAGGCCACGCCACTCCTGGCCCCGCCCTTCTCTGTCCGCGGAAGTGGGGCGCCCGGCGAGCAGTCCCAGGACAGGTGACTTCGTGCTAGGGGAAGGCGCCGGCGCCTCCTGTGGTAGGAGTCCCTTCTCCGCGGCCTCGGCTGCCCGCTGCGTCCCCACCCGGGCTTCCGAGAGTCTGACTCAGAGCCGAGCCCGCATCGCTTCACCTCCTACAACACACCCGCAGCGCGCGGAGAAATTACAGGATTGCAGGGGCACGGCTAATGCGCTCTAATTACCCACCGCCGCTCTCATCCGCGGCGCTCTGCGGCGCTGGGCCAACGTGCCGTAATTAGGCCGCCCCTGCCCAGTCTCTGAACCTGTCCGCCGTCGCCAGGAGCGCGCGCATCGGCTCCGCCGGTCGCCGCCTCCTGCCGTCCTCCGGGACTGCCCTCCGGTCCCAGGAGAGAGCTCTCACTTAGGGTGGGCAGAGGGGAGGTGCGGAACTTGGAGACCAGCCCCTCCCTTCCCATAATCCTACAGTCCTCGAGATCTCTGCTAGAAGGAACTGGGAGAGGAGGAAGGGGGCAGGACCCATTTCGTTGACATGGACACTGATGCCTCTTGGAAAGCTAACCGTCCCGGGGAGGGGTGGGTAGGGCACCAGGGCCACAGTATCCCTATATTGCACATGAGGCCCAGAAAAGTAAAGGCTCTCAGGGAAGGCCACCCAGGCAGAACTTCCAGATCAGCTCATTTAAGGGTGGCTCTATCATGCCCCACTTTGCTCCTGCAAAGAAAGGGGATCCCCCATCACAGACCTGGAGCCCTTGGCAGCCTACCAGCAGTGGCCTGTTGGTCACAAAGGAGCTGGTGAGGGGTGGCTCGAGTCTCCCATCCCGGTGAGAGGAGGCTCTGAAGACACAGAAGCCAGGTCTGGCAGCCAGGACTAAGGGAGAGCAACTTGGCTGTCAACTTCATTCAAACCAGGCTCCAACCTCTCCTCTATCAGGAATCCTTCCCTGACGTCCGGGGGTCGCACACTTGCGGCCTTGGGCCAGGGTTAATCTTTAGTGAGGTGGTGTTTGGCCTGCAATGAGTATGTGGTTTTTATACTGACGGTGAGAGCCTAGCGACAATGTGGGCTCTCTGAGTGCCCTCCCCGTTGGCAACAGCCAGTGTGGCCAGACTAGTCCACGAGGGCATTTGAGTTTGAGACCCCTGATTTAGACCTGCCTGCTTGGCCTGTGCCTTTACCCTTCTCTTCCGCTGCTGGACCTCAGTCTGCACTATTGCCACCCCTTTGTCGTCTTTGCCTGTTTCTCAGTAAGCGTGTGAGGTGAGTGTCCCTGGGAGTCCCTCTTTATGCTCCTCGCATGTGGTGGCTCCACATGTAGGGAAACCCTCTGGTATGTCCTTTCTTCATCTTGAGTTTCAGTCTGTGCCTTGGGTATGCACTATATCTTCTCTAGCAGGGATGACAGCTATCCTTCTGCCATGAGACTAGAGGTTCCTTGAGGGCAGGTCTGTGTCCCCCCTCAGACTGGGACTCCCTGAGGGCGGGGCTGTGTCTCCCCTCAGACTGGGGCTCCCTGAGGACGGGGCTGTGTCTCCCCTCACACTGGGGCTCCTTGAAGGCGTCGGATTCTCCCCTCAGATGGGGCCTTTGCATCCCACCCCAGCCTCTGGCTCTCTGCAGGGCCCAGGCATTCCTCCCAGGACACCATTTGTCATGCTTTGATGAATGAAACCTACTAAGAATAACTCAGTCCTTGTAGTGTCTAAAGTACGGGGTAGGGGGGTGGGGGAGGCTGGTGATTGTGGAGGGGCTGGGGGAGGATGGACACAGCCATTCATTCAATAGCATTTTCCCAGATGCCCATCTGGACACTGAGGGGAGACACAGTGAGTGCCGCAGAGCCCCCTACTGTGCCATTTGTGCTGTAGACCCTAGGGGGACGTCCACAAGATCCCTGAGACTGAAATGCCCCCTTCTTTACAGCCTTCCCACGCCAGGAGTCATCACTTCAGGGCCAGCCAGCCCCCTCAATGCCTGGCACCAGCTCCCTCTGCTTGGAAGTCAGGTGCTGGGGGTAGGGGGCTGCTTCCAGTAGGACAGGGACTGTGGTGGGGGATGCCTGTGGAGAACTGTCAGAGTGACCATGGCAGAATGTAGAAGGAGTCTCAAACTGGCAGGAGGGCATTTGGTGCTTTAATTGGCTGAGGGAGTGGGAGTGACCCAGAGGATGAATCTCTGTCCCCTGCACCCCACCCCCAACTCTTTCTCCCTCATCCTGCCCCTTCCCACTCCGAAACCTCAAGCCTCCAGTTAAGAATTGAGTGACCTTTCGAATGCAACTATTTTCCCAGGCACTTCACAGAGGGCCCGTGGGGTGGGGAGGCTGTGACCTTAACCCACTTCTCTGGATGGGGCCTTCCTGGCACTCCGCCCCCACTTGCCACCTCCTGAGAGGGACATTTTGGCCTGGTCTTGGCAAAAACATCAGCCTATGAGCTAGGCGGCCTGGTATGGTACCAGCTCTGCCGCTGACCCCACTGGAACCTTGAGAAGACATTTGCTCCTCTGGGCCTCAGTTTCCCCATATGTAAAATGAGTTTTGTCTAGTTTTCAAACCTTTCTTTTTTAAAAATAGTAGATCCTTTTGTAACTTATGTGGAGTCTCGACTGGTAACACAAAGTTTGGGGTTTAATGGTCAAAAGAGGAGTGGGGGCCCAGAGCCCCAGTGTTTAGTTTATCACACGCATGTGCACATAGCTCAGCTCCGGGGCACTCCACAGAGCATACTTCACAAACCTCTGAACCCTGAAATCCTTCCCTGTACAAACATTCTGGGCCCCTGCCAGGGCTGGGAGCTCTAGAACTGGGGGTGCTGGCAGCTCTGAAGATGAGGCAGTGATTGTGGGCTGCCCGGGTATAGGGAGCAGGGCCGAGGGGTAATGGGATGGGGGGCTTGAGCTGGTAGGGGAAGTCCTTTCAACGCTGGGTAACCCCACTGAGGCTGGGCAGGGGCCTGGGTCCAAAGCTGGGTCCGTGCCAACCCTCACTGCCCTGCCTACCCACTGGAGCCAGAAGTCAAGTAGTCTTGTCTGGCACAGGGTCCCCTCAGCTGGGGGGAGAGGGGGACGAGTGGAGGCTGAGAGTGCCCTTCCTTCGGGGAGGGGGCAGCAGGTATGGGTGGGAGCCTCTGGCAGCTTTTCTGTGGGATCCCTCTCACTATGCCTAGACAAAGGCCAGAGGGGCAGGAGTGGGGGCTGGCAGGGGTCCGCAGTGGCTGAGGGGTGAGGGCTGAGCACCAGGCAGCCCAAGTGGGGCAGCGTGCCCCACCGCAGGAGATGCGGGGAGCCTCACAGCACCAGTAATGCTGGAAGTGGGGGAATTTGGTACCAACAGGGAGTGCAGGTGGGGGGGCCTGTCAGGCACTCATGGCAGGAAGGCAAAAGTGAGGAGAGGATGGGTGCCACACAGGGAAGAAAAATGGCACCTATGAGAGGCGGGCCTGGGACTGGGGTTCCAGCTTAGGGCAGCGAGGTGGGTCCCTCCAAAGTGGGGGAACAGCAGTATCCCAGTCCGTCCTTGCCCGCAGAGGGACTGTGCCCAGGGGTGCTGAGAAAGGCCCACGTTCAGCCCCAGCCACCCGGAGTCACCAGGCAAAGGAGTTGCTGCCCCTTCCCTTACGCCCCCAGGTGGCCTGCACAGCCCTGGAGAGACATCATTCCCCACTGCCCTCAGGGGACATGTTGGGGAGCACAGGAGTCTCCCCCAGTCCCCACCTCCCTGGGACGTGCAGTGCAGGAGGGGGAGAGCTACCTTACCATCCTCCATCTCAAACACGTGCGCGCACGCGCGCACACACACACACACACACACACACACACACACACACACACTGGTGCTGTCCCTTAGAGACTTAACAGCCTTGGCCGCAGAAACTCTTGGATCACTGCTCTGTGCCAGGAATGGAAAAGTCAGCGGAGGTCTCTGCCCTCATGGTGCTCACATTCTAGGGAGGGAATGACAGGTGATCAACGAGTCAACAAAACATAAAGTTCAGGTGGTGAAAAGACAACTACTGGCGTGGAGAGCGGGGGAGGGGGGCCCTTTTAGGTGTGGTGGTCAAAGATGTCTCTGGGAGGAGGTGACATCTGAGTGGAGACCTGAGCTACGGGAAGCCAGTCATGCTTTGAGGTCAAAAGGACTCCAAAATGTACAATATTTTTAAACTGAGAAGAATGTGTATGCATAAACATTAAAGGGCGGGGAACTTAGACCTGTCTCTGGAGCGTCTGGTGCATGTCCAGCAGTGACAGGAAAGCCACACACCTCATCTCCCACAGCCCTCTTCAGAACCTCGTGTGTCAAATGGTAGTATTTTCATTTTACAGATATGAAACATGAAACCCACAGAGGTTATTTTTCCTTTATTTAATAAGTTGTTTTGAGTTTTAGCCTCTGAAAACATTATACTAAATCCCACGTGGGCCCTGCCATCTTAGATCCTACAGTCTGTGAGAGCACAGAGGAGGATCAGGAGGGCTTCCTGGAGGAGTCCATGTCTAGGCTGAGTCTGAAAGGATGAGGAGGGGGTGACAGGGGAAGTGATGAGGAGAGGATGGGGGCCAGAGGTGGTGGCACCAGTGGCAGGGAGACCTGTGGGCAGAAGGAAAGGACTGAGGAGAGGGTCCTGCAGGGCTGCCTGGTCAGCTCTCTGAGGGGGCTGGGGTGCTGAATGAGGACCTTACAGGCAGTGGGGAGGGCAGGAGGGCAGATGGGGCCACCTGGTGTGGCTGTTAGGAAAAACAGGTCGGGTGGGACCTCTTCCAAGGCTCTGGTGACCTGGCCACCCCTGAGTGACGGGGTTAATAATGGCAAAGTGGGTGCCAGCCAACAGCAAGGCCTAGTCAGACAACTCACACAGGCCAACACGCTCCACACACACAGACACACAGGCAGACACGTGCACCACGCATGCACAAATGCACATGCAGCTGGCCTCCCTCCTGGATCTGTATTGATGAGGGCCTGGGGAGAGGCACAGGATGGGGTCAGAGGTCACAGAACAGCTTGACCCCAGCATAGCTCAGGCCTCAGGCTCTAGCCACCTCTTTCTGGAGCCCCAGGGCAGACGACCCTCCATAGCACCTTCCCAGGCTCTCAGGCCCCTTGCCCTCCTCTCCCCCATACGCTCGGAGACCTCACCTGCTGGCACATTGTCCAGGATGTGCAGACAGGACCGGTAGCCTTCTTGCCGGTCACGTTCACAGGGAATGCAGCCCTGGGCATTGCAGCCAGCAGCAGAATCCAGACTCAGAACAGACCCTGCTGGGCTGGAGTGAACAGGCCAGACCAGAGAGATGAGCATTCACAGGGTCAATGAATGGACTCGAACGTGAGGTCAGACACTCAACA